GGGGATTCCAGGGATTGAACCCAAGCTCTCAGGCTTGGGCAACAAGAGCCTTCAGCTGCTGAGCCGCCTCGATGGCCCTCGTCCTGGTTCGCTATTGAAAATATCTGTACAAACAAACCATTAGTCAATGGCTGGATGCAGTCCTGCAATCCCAGCACTAGGGATGTGGAGGCAGGAGGATCAGGAGATCACAGTTATTCTACGCTATAAAGCAAGTTCGAGGCTATATAAGACCTCCATCTTGAAAAAAAAAGAATTGATAAGAGTTTTTACTTCCACCCACTAAAAAAGCCTGGAGTCAGTGACTAACCCGGTAACGAGGCCCCCTAGCACCCAGGGTGTGGTGGTCACAGCTCCATTTCTGTTGCCGTGATAAAATACCCTGACAAGAGCAGCTTTAGGGTAGAAAGGGTTTATTCAGCTTACAATTCCAGGCTACAGTTCACTGTTGCAGGGAAGTCAAGGTAAGGACTTAGAACAGCCAGTCACATCCAGGGTCAAATGTAGAGAGAAGATAAATAAGTACAGGCTTCTTGTGTTCAGCTACCTCTCTTTACTCATGTAATCCTGGATCCCCTACCTAGGGAATGGTGCCACCCACGGTGGGCTGGGTCTTACTACATCAGTTAACACAGTGAAGACAATCATTCCTCCTCCACAGGCATGCCCACAAACCAGCCTGATCTAGACAACTCCCAACCCCCATGAGACTGTGTTCTCGGGTGATCCTTGGCTGTATCGAGTTGATGATTAAATATACCTCAGAGGTCTTGAAATACTGATCCTTTTTTTCTTTGGGGTCAGGTCCTCCCTGGGTATCTCAGGCTGGCCTTGAACTTGGCAATCTTCCTGCCTTGGCTTTCCAACTGTTGGGATTACAGGCCTCTGCTATGACATGTGATAGTGTTAATTGTCAACTTGATAGACTTTAGAACTGTCTGGGGGCGGGCCTTGGAGTCTCGTTGTGGGGGATCATCCTAATTACATTTAACTGTGGGCAGGACCATTCCTGGGGCTTGGGGTCCTGGACTGAAAAAAACAAAAAACAACAAAACAAACAGACAAAATCAGGGAAAGGGAGCTGAGCACTGGAAGGCATGGATTTGTCTGTCTCTGCTCCTTGACTCCGGTGTGATGTAACAACTCTCAAGGCCCAACTGCCAGGGCTTCCCACCATGATGCACCACTGTCTGGAACTGTGAACCAAGTAAATCTTCTCTCCTTTTAGCTATTTTTGTCTGAGTATTTTATCACAGCCACGGGGAAAAGACACTAAGACACCGCCCTGGCATTAAAATATCAATTTTCACTAAAAATAGAAACAACATTCCCCAAAATGGACTGGCCCAAGTCTAGCAACAAGTGAACAAGCCAAGCCTGAGACACATTGTCACGCTAGATGGTAAGGAAGTTGGTGGGCTTACATCAGCTGGAAGGGAAGGACGCAGGAACTAACCAGGGCCAAGGCGGAGGGATTCCCATGGCAACAAAAGCAACAGCTACATGTTGCTACAATGTCAGGAGTGGTGGTGCACGCCTTTAATCCCAGCACTTCAGAGACAGGCAGGCGGATCTCCGTGAGTGTGAGGCCAGCCTGGTCTATAACAATGAACCCAAATGTATCAAATCTATTTAAATTGTTCATTTATACCCATGGGAAAAATTAAAAGATATCAACGGCAGCTAGAGCTCCAATAGAAGAGAACGCCTGTGGAGAATTCCCCAAACCAGCTCTGCAGGGCCTTCACAGTTCCGGCAACACAAGGAAGTGTTGGGGTGGGCGTGGGGGGGGGGGGGAGCAACACTGGGGGTGCGAGTCAGCAGGCCACACTGTAGGGAACCCTGCAGGATAAGCCATCTGGTTTCCTTAGCAGATAAAGCGCAAGGGGGGGGGGGGAGTAGAGGGAACTAGAAACGGAAACAGGCGCAGAGATACTGCGCTGACCAGTGTGTAACCCTATTTTCCTAAACCTATAAAATGCATATGGCATTGTGGGGGGGGGGGATGTCTCTGTCGCCGCGAATGAGGCCCTGAACACGGTCTCCAGAGCCGACACAGACTGCCAGGTGTGAACATGCGCGTTTTTCTTTTGTTTCATAAGAAGATACTTGGTAAGGGGTGGATAGGTCTTGATTGTGAAATTCATAAAATAACTGGCTTTTAAAGGGCTAACAGGCTAAAAATATTTTCTGACCTCATACTCTTAGGTCAGAATGGATACATCATTACACATGTTGTCATCCATTGTAGATAAAATTATGTAATGTAACTCTTTAGTTATTAAAGTTAGACACAGTCATTGGGGGAAAAGACCAAGGTTCGGCAGTGTACATTTATAATCCCAGCTCTGGGCAGGGGGGGGGGGGATGGGTGGGTGAATCGCTGGGGCTCACTGACCAGACAGTGTAGCCCAATTGGTGAATTTCATGCTGGAGAGAGTCTCTTCTTCAAGGAAAGACACCTTTGGTCTACACACACACACACACACACACACACACACACACACACACACACACACACGACCCATGAAGGGCTCCTATCCGTGATTCAGGGCCACTCCATAAATTAGACCCACTCTGGACTGTTTGTCCTGTTGTGGAATACCGTCTTTTAGATACCGTCTTCTACTCCCCAGGAGTTCCCATCTCCAGATGCACTTCCCATCACATGGCCCATCACGGGAGGAATGAGCAGCCACAACCATGAGAACAGACAGAGAACTATGCCAGAACTGAAGCCAGGTAACACAGCTGCAGGCTCCCAGCTTCTTTCCTCAGGACCTCTGGCATGGCTCTGTTTCCAGACTGGAATGCCTTCAGATCTCCATCCCTGACTCACTAGACACTTTTGTGCCTTGGCTCACACAGGACTCTGTGCCTGGACCATCCTTCATGGACACTCTACCTGTGGAATCCCTATTCTCTAGAACTCCAGGAAATGCCACATCTGTCCCACTAGGTGGTCAAAGTTCAAGACTGGGCTGTGTAGACACGTGTGCACTGGAGACACTCAGCTCTGCAGAGGAGGAAGTTCAGGGGCAACCAAAGTGGCTCCCCTCTGTTGTAGAGAATTATTCTCTGAGCAAAACAGCTGCCATCTTCATCAGATAAGTAAGCTTTGCCTGCTTGTGGAGTCCATCACGACTGGGCTTGTGGATTGTTGACATATCTTCATAGAAGGAGGGGGTGGAGAGGGTCACTGGAGGCCGCTTGAGCATCCAGCCACTCCTCCAAGCCACCTGTATGCAATTCTGCCCTGAGTGCATGAGGCCTTGGAGTCTTGGGGAGGGAGTATGGTGTACAGCTCGAGGAAAGTTAACTGGGGAGGGGTTCCACCCATATGACCACAGGGAAGACATCCCTCATACTATATGAAGACTTCCTAGTGCAGCTGATTCAAGGCCACTCACGCTCCCACCTATAACCCTCCCCGTCACTCATGCTCTGTAAGTAAGCCTAAAGACTCACTAGCTGGGGGCTGAAGAGATGGTTCAGTGGTTAAGAGCACTTGCTATTCTTCTAGAGGACCCAGGTTCAGTTCCCACCACCCATATAAGAGGCTCACAAGCTCTCAGAACACCAGCTCCTTCCATGACCTTGGAGGGCACCTACATGCACACGGGGCACATACAGAAAGACAAAACATCCATATACATAAATAAAAATAAATCAAGAGTAAATAAACTCATTGACTTTGGTCTTAGTTACTTTTCTATTGCTATGATAAGACACCATGAGCAAGACAACTTAAAGAAAAAAAAGTTTACTTGGGGCTTACAGTTTCAGAGGGCTAGAGTCCATGACTGTCATGTTGAGGAGCATGGAAGCAGGTAGGCATGGAGCTTGAACAGTAACTGAGAGCTCACATCTTGAGACACCACCATGAGGCAGAAAGAATTCACTGTCGACCAGTACCTGAATAGGAGAGTGAGGATTAAGAAGGAAGAGATAAGAGACAGATGATAGAATCGAGAAGGCTCTCAGTGAATACTGCAGCAGCCCCTAATTTATTTCTCAAAGTCTTTTTATACCCAAAGCAAGGGACTCAAAAGACTTCCTTACCACGGTTCAAGGAACAAACAAGCATAAACACCTGCTTAATTCTCCAAACATCTGGTAACCATGCCTTTGGCCAATCATCCTGTAATTCAGCCTTGAGGAGCAAAGACAAGCTTGAACTCTCTGACCTTGAGTCAGGCTGGAATCAAGTCACAAGCTGGAGTCAGTGTGGGCTCCCACGCTGCGGACGGTATGGGTTTTTGGAACCTCAAAGTGACACCTCTGCCAACGAGGCCACACCTCCTAATCCTTCCCAAACAGTTCCACCAGCTGGAGACTAAGTAATCAAATGTTGATTATTATGAGCTTATTAGGATATGGTAGTTGGAATAAGAATGGCTCCATGGGCTCATATGTTTAGATGCGTATTTGAAAAGCATTATTTGAAAGGATTAGAAGGATTCTAGGCTCTCAGCTGTTGCTCCCACACCTACCTGCAGGCTGCATGCTGCCATGATGATAATGGGTTAAACTTCTGAAACTGTAAGCAAGCCCCCATTTAAATGTTTTGTCTTATAAGAGTTGCCTGGTCATGGTGTCTCTTTATAGCAATGGAGCACTGACTAAAACAGGGGGCTAGTCTCATGCACACCACCACAGTTCCCCAGGGTAAATCTTGATGGAATCCTATTTTGGTTTGTCCTTGAGACCTTATGAGGAGGGGATAGATGCTGTTTACGTTTCTCTAGGGAAGGGATTCTTGAAACACACTCAGAGATTACCCATTTCCCCATCCCCGGCTGATTAGGGTAAAAGACATCTGGACCCTTGATTGCAGGAAGCCACTTTTAGCCCCTGATAAATTTGCTTATCACCAAATGTCCCATCCTACAGATGCATGAAATGAGGCACGGAGAGGTTACAGGCCTGATCATACGCACAGCAAACAGGAAGTCTGGCTCTGGTCTACGTCCTTAGCTGCTGCCTCACCCGATAGGGTTGTGATCAGGAACTGGCGGCCTGCTAACCTAAGAAGCAGCTGTCCTCCATTCAGGGAGAGGCTGGGACCCGTGGAGATGGCAGACACCCTGGCTACAGTGTGAGAATAATAACCCCTGAGGAGGTTCTGCAAGGAGATGAAACCATCTAAAAACCTGACTGGTGACAGCCTTGCAGGGCCCCCTGGCAGGAGGGCAGCTGACCTTCAGCCAGCACTGTGGAGGCTTCCTTTCCTTCCTTCCGCATGCCCTCCTTGAATCATAGCGCCTACCCTAGTCCCGAGTGTTGCTCAATCCAGGAGCGCAGTTCCTGTGGGCTGCGCCTGACTGGCTTGGTCCTCTCTTTTCTGCACTTCAAGGGGAAGACGAGATCTTGGACAAGGGACTCCCACATCTGTCCCCTCCGGCTGGCTGAGAAGGGTGCCATGGGGCCTCTCCACCTGTCTCTCCTGCTGCTGATCACAGGTGGGACCCACCCTCTACAATGCTTTCTTTTCCTCACCTTCCTTGAGCAAATGGCTGGGCGGGGGTGCGGATGTTATGGAGGGGACTGCGGAGGAGGCTGGAGTCCCGGCATGCTCAGTGTCCTGCTTAGCGCTGCTTTTCTCCCCACTGGCCCATGTTCTTCACACCATCCTCCCTAGGATTAACCCCCACGTGTGGGGAGGGTTAAGGGGCTGCTGGACTTGGTCACTGAAGGAGTCGTGAGGGTGGCACTGGCCGTCAGGTGGGGGACCCGTGGACGCACTTAAGCATAAGTGGGGTGGCGGAATGGGAAAGAAGGAAAAAAGAGGGGAGACTTGGGGCTTGCAGCCTCCTAAAGCCCAGCCCATATTTGACCTCAGCCCTCAGTGGGAGGTGGGGATGCTGAAGACTACCGCTGAGTACTCACATGTGACAGACTGCTCCTCCCACTGTGGGCTGGGTGCCTCCTGTTGCTGAAGAGTAATGGGCAAGCCCAGGTGAGAGAGGAGGCTGCCCTGTGCCTTGTCCCTGCAGCGTCTGGAAATGGAGAGAGCTGTAAGGTACCTTAGCCTGCCTGGAGGCAGAGGGATGGAGGGGCTGACATGTGGAGAGAACACACACAGGAGGTCTCTAGTTCCAAAAGGAGCAGGCCACCATCTTCTTTATCCCGCCTTTCACGTTTCCATCTCAGTAACAGCTGAAGACAAGACACAAGAGGCAGAAAGTTTGGGGGAACCCTTGTCCTCCTGCCCCGGCCACAACTTGGCGGGTGCTCCAATGCCACCAACCTTACCCCAAGAGGATCCCCAAAATAGCAGCCTCATGTCTCCCCCCAAAATAGCTTTGAGACAAGTCCTTCCTAAAAGAGGAACAGAGCCACAGAAATAGGGAAGCTGGGAGTTAAAGGTTAGGAAAGGCGAGCCATCCAGTGTGGATGACTGAAGGGAGGACGGAGAGTCAGGGGCGGGGAGGCGGCCATCCCAGACCCTCAGAGAGCCAGCCTGAGCTCCAAGAATCCGCCAACCTGCTCTCCTGAGATGAAGAAGGGAAAAGAGACAACCTGGTCCCATATGACAGGAGAGAAGGTGTCTAAACCAGAACCAGAGGGGCTTTAAGAACAAGACATGGCTTAGTCAGTACAGCGCTTGCCTTGCAAGCGTGAGGACCTGCATTTGGACCCACAGAACCATGAGAAAAGGCAGGTGTGGTGGCGTGTGCCTGTCTCCTAGGAATGGAGGCATGGGAGGCAGACACAGTCAGATCCCTAGAAGCACTCAGGAAGGCTTGGTCTATGTTGTGAAGTTCCGCGCTGTATTTCGGGTTATTGTTTTGTGGCTGTGGCAAACTATCTTACAAAAGCATCTCAGTGGAAGGAGGGCTTGTTGGGCTCGCAGTGCCGGGGTAGACAACCCATCCTGGAGGGGAGGGCATGGCGGCAGGAGCAGGGGGCAGCTGGCACATTGCATGCTTTGTCAGGAAGCTGGGAGGCGAGTGCAGCTGCTGGGCTCTCTCTCTCCTTTTGAGGTAGTCGGGGACTTTGGCTGCTCATATTCAGGGTGGGTCTTCTCACACCAGTGAACTGAATCCAGGTACATCAATATTCCCATGGGCTAACTTGATCTAAAAAGCCCCTTGCAGGCAAACTCAGAAGTTTGCCCTCCCGATGATTCTAGAGCCTGACAAGTTGACCATGAATGTTAACTATCTTGCACACTGGTAGGACACCCTGTTTCAAACAAAAGTGGAAGGTGCCTGAGGACCAGAGCTTATTCTAACGACCACGTGCACACTGTGCTCCCTGCATCCCTGGAGGTGACTCCAAAGGTGTCTGGGAAGCATCGTAAGAAAACCAGATCCCAGATCCCAGCTGTGCCACTCTCCCTGGAGATCCTAAGCTCTTTAAGGGCAGGATCCTGTTGGCATAGTCTGCTGCTCCTGGGGGACAGATGCTCAGTGAAAATTTGGTGTGGGGATGAAGTGACAAGTGGCAGTCTCCTCTGCAGAGTTATCCCAAGCCCTCAACACAACGGTGCTGCAGGGTGTGGCTGGCCAGTCCCTGCAGGTATCGTGTACTTACGACTCCTTGAAGCACTGGGGGAGACGCAAGGCCTGGTGTCGCCAGCTGGCTGAGGAGGGCCCGTGCCAACGTGTGGTGAGCACACACAGTGTGTGGCTGCTGGCCTTCCTGAGGAAACGGAATGGGAGTACAGTCATCACGGATGACACCCTGGCTGGAACTGTCACTGTCACTCTGCGAAACCTCCAAGCCGATGACGCGGGTCTCTACCAGTGTCAGAGCCTCCGAGGCCGAGAGGCTGATGTCCTCCAGAAGGTCCTGGTGGAGGTGCTGGCAGGTGAGTACAGTGGCGCTCGTTGCACCTTTGCTGGTCCTTGGACTGGGTCTCATTGTTGTATGACTTTCACTGGGAGGCATAAGCAAATGTCTGTCCCAGATTAGCCACTAGCCACAGATCCAAGAAAAGGTTCTACCCAAGTCCAGTTCAGTGAACTAATGAGTTTACCAGGGCTGCTTGTAGGTGCATGGGTAAGGGTTTGCTAACGGGCAACTCCAAAGTAGCTGCATCAGCGAAAAGGCCATCCCAGCATCCCTGGAGCTCCCTGCATCCCTGGAGCTCCCTGCATCCCTGGTGCTCCCTGCATCCCTGGAGCTCCCTGCATCCCTGGTGCTCCCTGCATCCCTGGTGCTCCCTGCATCCCTGGAGCTCCCTGCATCTCTGGAGCTCCCTGCATCCCTGGTGCTCCCTGCATCCCTGATACTCCCTGCATCTCTGGAGCTCCCTGCATCCTTGGATCTCCCTGCATCCCTGGTGCTCCCTGCATCCATGGAGCTCCCTGCATCCATGGTGCTCCTTGAACAACTTGTAGGCATCTGGTCCTCGCTTGAATTTCCTCTCCCCAACAACTGTAATGGCTTGGGGTGTGTGTATAAATCTTGTTAAGTTTCATGACATTCTTGAGCCTTGCAGTTTTCTTTACTTCCTGAGTTATAGGGCCCTCCCTGACAGGCAGTGGCCTAAAAGAACAGTGATCTCATGGCTTGTCTCTCACAGACCCTCTTGACGACCAAGATGCTGGAGATCTCTGGGTCCCTGAGGAATCAGAGAGTTTTGAGGGTGCCCAAGTGGAACACAGCACCTCCAGGTACAGTAATGGTCCCCCCTCAGACTTCTGGCTGTGACTGGGGATGAAGGTCCCAGGACCAATAGATCAGGCAAAGGCCCAGGTGTAGTCTTGTGTAAGTTCCCTCCCACCCACTAGTGCATCGATGTTACTGAGCTTAGATATTAAGAAACTAGAGCACTTTGTGACAATTTCCAAAAGCACCACTCCAAGATTCTGAAAGGGCAGCACCCATAGGCCCCTGTACTTCAGCAAGAGGTCTTAGTATTTTAGCTTAAAGCCAAGAGCCCTGGGTCTCTGTATCTTCAGAAGAACCAGAATCCATTCTGGATGCTTCATGTACTAATATAGAAATGATACAACCCCTGAGCATGTGTGCAGGTGCGTCCATCCCTATGTACTAATACAGAAATGATACAACCCCTGAGCACGTGTGCAGGTGTGTTCTACAGTCCTGAGCACATGTGCAGCTGCATACCCGTGCACCATACCATACTACAGGAAACAGCTCAGCAGGGAAATGGGACGTGTTTTTGTACACTCAGCAGATCCTAAAACTGACTGCAGATTCCTCTGAGCCCCATAAAGCCCCTTCCCAGAGTTAGTGTCACCCAACCGCCTAGGAATTCCTTGTTCTTCTCTATCCCCTCTCCAAGGGCAGGCTTCATCCAGTAGATCACCTCTAGTCTACTATCTTCCTTCTCTTTCCAAGGAGCCAATCACAAGAGACCTCCTTCCCACCCACATCCATTCTTCTCCTCCTGGCCTGTGTCCTCTTCAGCAAGCTTCTTACAGCCAGCATCCTCTGGGCTGTGGCCAGGGGCAAGCAGAAGCTGGGGTCACCTGTAGCCAGTGGGCTGGACTGCGGACACGATGGCGGGCACCAGCTTCAGATCCTGACTGGTGAGTGGGGCAAGCTGGTGGACATTAGGTGTGAACAGGACAGGGTTGGAAGGGACTGAGTCATATCTGTTGTAGGACCCAGAGATGCATGAGAGAACTCCAAGATGGAGGAGAAGCCCAGCTCAAGTCCACCCATGAGTCATCCAGCTTGCATACTCTCCCCTCTGCCACCAAGACTTCTGCTTCTTCTGGTTTGGCTTCAGAGGTCACTTCTGCCTAAAGCCCACCTCTTCAGGATGCAGGAATACTCATGCTAAAGCCCGTCGTCTCTTCTGGAAGCAGGAATACTCCTGTGTTTGTGTGCGTTGAGTGCAGAAGAGAGCTGGAAGGTCACCTGTCAGCTTCTGGGCTTTGGCCATTAAACACTCTCACACACAAACCCAGGACTATCCACTCTTTCTAGATGGTTCTGTGCCTATAATGGTCTTCTGTTTCTCAGTGCTGGGATTAAATTCATGGCCTTGTTCATGCTAGGCATGAGCTTACCACTGAGATAATTCCCAGGGTAGGATTATGCATCTGGATGAGAAAAAGGGAAAAGGGGTACCTTGCTTTGTAGGGAAGAGATACCTGCCCTTAGCCCCTACCCAGGGTCCTCTGAGAAATGCTTCCCAGGAGTAAGGGAAAGTGAAAGTTCTCTATAATAACTTCACACACACGGGCCAATGCTCTTCATTCTGTGTACTCTTTATTGTTGTGTTCTTTGTGTCATCCATCTTTATTCTCCTCTACATTTGTATTCTACATCTTTTTTCTACATCTTTATTCTACATCTCTACTCTACTACATCTCTGTTCTGAGACCCATTACAAATCCCCAAGCATAAAAACTACAAGGCAAACTTTCAGGGATGAGCATTCTGATAAGAGTCACACTTGGCAGAGACTTGGTCAGCTTAATTCGTGACTGACACCTGTAGGTTGTGAAAGTTCTGGCTATCTCTTAAAGGGATAGCTACAAGGGTTACAAGGGAAGGAACTGAACCAATGAGAGATCTAAGGAAGAGGCAAATAATGTGTGTGTTATTTTATGTGATTAATAATATCCGGGGGACTGGAGAGATGGTTCAGGGGTTAAGAGCACTGGCTATTCTTCCAGAGGTCCTGAGTTCAATTCCCAGCAACCACATGGTGACTCACAACCATCTTTAATGAGATCCAGTTCCCTCTTCTAGCCTGTCGGGATACATGCAGGCAGAACACTGTATAAATAATAAATAAATAAATCTTAAAAAAATAATATCTGGACGTGGTTAGTCAGTTAACAGCCTTTTTCTGTTAATTATCTGAATCTCAGGGCCTATACATAGTTAGTCTACTGAGCCTAAATTCTTGCATTAAAAACTGGTGTAGAAATAAATACCAAGTGTTAACTGTTATTTGAATCAGAGTTGGGAGGTGCCGGTGGAGGAAGCTTAGGGCAACATAGGTGCTATTGCTCTCTTGAAGGACTAAGATATACCAAGGCCAGACACCTGCACTATCATTTCTGGTTCACTATAATTCTTCTGAAGGGTTTTGATCCAATAAGGCCAGGCACCTGCAATTCTGCTCTGTGAAAGTTCCACGAGGTCACTTTGTCTGGCCAGTTTGCCTTCTCAGTGGCTAAGGATGGAGAGTAAGACCTCTAAGTGTCTACAGTCCACACAGAACAATAGACCTAGTTATGAAGCATACTTTAGTATGTTTCTGTTAATAAAAATTGTACAGTTAAATAAGAAACCATTTTCTTGACCATCCACAATTATGTGTGCCCATAAGATAAGATGTAATCAAGAGATTACATGTACACATTACGTGGAAATGCATGGTAAATGGGGAGACAGCATAGCTGTTCTTAGGGAAGAAATGCAGTTCTTAGGGAAGAAATGAAGTGGCACATGAGAGAAACACAGACAAGGAGCAACTGGTCATTCATAGTCAGTAACCTCACGGCCTTGCCAGGTGGGGCTTCCCATCAAAGAGTCATTCATTTGGTGGGTTGACATATGAACTATGGTGATATTTTATTTGTACTGAAATGTGATTTTAATTGAATGTTAATGAATAAAGTTGCCCAAGGGCCAGAGCTGTTAAAGCCACAGCGAAAGCTGGGCGGTGGTGGTACACGCCTTTAATCTCAACACTTGGTAGGCAGAGCTAGGTAGATCTCTGTGTGGTCAAGGATACAGCCAGCATTGGAGACACACACCTTTAATCTCAATACCAACCATAGAAGACCTGGAGGTCTGTACAGACAGGCAGTGACGAGGCAGTCATGTGGTTGGGTTTACAACCAATGAGAAGGCAGAACAGAAAGTCTATATAAAGACAGACAGGAAGTAGGTCTCTTTCGGAGAGGTCTCTTGGCTGAAGAGGCTAGCTGCAGCAGGCAGGTAAGGCTCTTAGCTCTGATCTCTTGGCTTTCTTCTTTGCATTGGTTCTGTGTTTCTTATTTAATGAGACGGTTGGTTACATCTACAATGAACACCAGTTATCACCTGCTGTATACTCTCACGGCCCCCGACATTACGTGAGGCCTGGTGCCCAAAGACACTGTCTGAATTTCACTTCTGTTGCTGTGGTGAAACACTGACCAAAAACAACGTAGGGGAGAAAGGGTTGGTTTTAGCTCATAACTCCAGAAGGGAAGTCGAGGCAGCAGGAACTTAAAACGGCTCGTCATAGCACATGTGCGGTCAAGAACAGGGAGGGAATGGAGCTGGCTGAGCTCGTGCTCCGCTCCCTCCCTGTTCTGTACCACTTACGCAGTCCAGGAGCCCCTCAGGGGGCTGGGTCTAGTCCACGGCGATCAACATGTAATCCAGACAACCCCTCAGACATGCCTGTGTGCCAACTTTATCTAGACAAACCTCTTTGAGACAGTATTGGGAGGGTCTAGATTATGTCAAGATGACAATTAAAACTAACTCTCGTGGGTACCATGTCTTCTGTCTCATAGGCTCCAATCAGGTCCATCTTTTCATCCTGATTTCCCTTCCCTAAGTTTGATCACCAAGTCCTTCTGTGGATAGCTGGCCATCTTCCTAGCCCTCCCCTTGTGGCATTCTCTCCATCAGCTCCTACAGTTGCCCGCTTCCCAGACCCAGGCTCCTTCCTCTCCACCCCCGCTCTGCCACTCAGGCCTGTCCAACCCCCTGACTCATCCTCTCATCTCCGAGAGCTGTGCTTCCGTCTGCAACTTCCCCTCTGAAGAAACGGCAAAGACTGAGCCACAGCATCTGAGCTGGGAAAGGATAGTCCACACCCCGGGATATACTGAGAGGAAATAGAGGCCCCGAGAAGGAGGGGCTCACTCACTGTCTCTAGCAGAGCCTGGAAATCCAAGTTTCCCTCCACATTCCCGGAACCTTTCCTCTAGCCCCACCCTGCCAGTGCATTTGTGAACAGGTGCATCCCAACATGTTCTGAGTCTGATTCAAGCCTCAGAGACACACACAGATTCTGCACTAGAGTTCTTGTTCTAGGGACAGGAGCTGGCGGGGGGCCGGCAAACACAGTAAAAGGGTTTTTGTCCAAAGTGTGGATGAAAATTTGTAAATAAAGCCAGTGTAGAGGAGATGGAATGTGTCATTTTGAGCGGGACGGTCAAAGGGGACGCCTGAAGGAAGTTAGGAAATGCGTGAGAACACCGTGAGCAGGAAGACTTTGAGGCGAAGGGAACAGTCAGGACCGTGTCCATCAGGGCCGCGTCCGTCAGGACCGCGTCCGTCATCAGGACCGCGTCCGTCAGGACCGCGTCCATCATCAGGACCGCGTCCGTCAGGACCGCATCTGTCAGGACCGTGTCCATCTCTTTAGCACTGTTTCGTTTCTGTTGCGGTGATAAAACATCTTGACCAAAAGCAGCACAGGGGGGAAAGGGCTTGTTTAGCTTATTGTTTCAAGTCACAGTCCGTCGATTTGGGGAAGTTGAGGCAAATTCAAGCAACTAGTCACATTCCATCTTCAGTTAAAAGCAGACAGAAACAAGTGCATCCCTTCTGCCTGCTTGCCCAGTTAGCTTTCCTCCCTTGTACAGTTCCCGGCCCAGTCCAGGAACAATGCTGTCTGAATTCAGGCTGAACCTTCCCACCTCTGTTAAGAGTCATGACAGTCCCCCCAGACATGCCATAGACAGACATGCCCACAGAATGCCCCAGATATGCCCACAGACAGACATGCCCACAGACAGACATGCCCACAGACATACCCACAGACATGCCACAGACAGACATGCCATAGACAGACATGCCCACAGAATGCCCCCAGACATGCCCACAGACAGACATGCCCACAGAATGCCCCAGACATGCCCACAGACAGACATGCCCACAGACAGACATGCCCACAGACATACCCACAGACATGCCACAGACAGACATGCCCACAGAATGCCCCCAGACATGTCCACAGACAGACTGCCCCAGACATGCTCCAGACACCCACAGTCCACTTCATCTAGATAATCCTTTTGGACTCCCTTTCCAGATGATTCTAGGTTGTGTCGATTTGACAAATACACACCTAGCACCCTGGGCAAGGGTAAGGCAGAGTGGGGTAGAAACTCTCTGATGGACTCAGATGAGGAGGATCAACCTAGCCACAGACCCAAGCTTTCTATTAGGCCTGAGAAGTAGACACCCAGGAATCCCTGTGGCCATGGTGACATGAGCATGCTTTAACATCTAATATGAGCATGGAATTATGGGAAATGTCCATCATGGCATGCCCTCTCCAACCTCACTCCACACGGCCCTCCCTGGGTTCCAGCCCTGCCTTGTGCATTCCCACTTAGACTATTCCACTGACCCTGGTCTGGAGCTCTGAGATCCCGGGTCAGTTTGCTTTTGGGCTTCTCCAACTGCCTCATTGTGTCTTAAGGACATTGACTCACTCCCACAGATCGAGTCCACAGTCTAGCCAAACCCTTTTCAGCTGCCTGCACCCTGAGCACCAGGCTGTGAAGCTGGCCTGAGAGGCTCCCTGAGTCATGCCTGGCATGGCAGCATGGTGGCTACTCTCCTCTTGGGGTCTGCTCTTCACTCCTTATCTGCTCTTCCGTGTCTGCGATGCCTACCTCTGGGTTCCAGTGACCATTGAGATGCCCTGCCTTGGGCTAAGGATCACCATGGACTGAACAGTAGATAGATCCTAGGCTTCAGTCTCACCTCTCCCTCCTGACAACCTGTAGTGAGCAGGTTCATCAACCCACGACAGGTTGGCTGATTATAAAAATAGATCAGTCAAGCAAGCAATTAGTCAGCCAACACTCCCCTGGTCTATTTCACAGGAGTTTAAATGGTTTTGAGAGGGTTGGAGAGATGGTGTCTTAGTTACTGTTGTTCTGTTGCTGTGAAGAGATACCATGACCAAGGCAACTTAAAAAAGGAAGATTTAATTAGGGCTTGCTACAGTTTCAGAGGGTGAGTCCATGAGCACCATGGTGGGGAGCATGGTGCTGGAGCAGGAGCTGAGAACTTAGTCTGAGATCTGATCCACAAGCAAATGGCAGAGAGGGGGAGGAGCGAGGGAGGGAGGGAAGGAGAGAGAGAGAGAGAGAGAGAGAGAGAGAGAGAAAGAGAGAGAGAGAGAGAGAGAGAGAGAAAGAGAGACTAGGCCTGGCATGGGCTTTTGAAATTTCAAACTCACCCCCAGTGATACACATTCTCCAACAAGGCCACAGCTCCTTACCTTCTGTGAATGAGAATGGCCCACATAGGCTCAGCGATTTGAATGCGTAGTCATCAGGGAGTGAACTGTTCGGGAGGGTTAGAAAATGTGGCCTTTGGAAGAGGTGTGGCTTTATTAGAGTACCTGTGGCCTTACTGAAGGTGGTGTGTTACTGAGGATGGGCTTGGAGGTTTCAAAAGCCCACACCAGACTCTCTCTCTCTCCCTCTTCCTCTCTGTCTCTCTCTCCCTCTTCCTTTCTCTCCCTCTCCCTCTTCCTCTCTCTCCCCCTCTTTCCTCTCTCTCCCCCTCTTCCTCTCTCTCTCCCTCTTCCTCTCTCTCTGTCTCTCTTTCTATTTCTGTCTCTGTCTCTCTCTCCCTCTTCCTCTCTCTCTCCCTCTCTCTCTCTCTCTCTCTCTCTCTCTCTCTCTCTCTCTCTCTCTCTCTCTGTCTCTCTCTCTCCCTCTCTCCATGCTGCTTGCTGATCAGGATATAAAGTTCTCAGCTACTCTTCATCCCCATGCCTGTCTGACTCCCACAGTGATTATCGTGGACTGTATAACCCTCTAAACTGTATGCATGCTTTCTTTTATAAGAGCTGTCTTGGTCATGGTGTCTCTTCACAGCAGCAGAACAGAGACTAAGACAACTTCCTAAACAGTCCACCAACTGGGAACCAAACATTCAAATGTACAAGCCTGTCTTAATTAGGGTTTCTGTTGCTGGCAAGAGACAGCATGACCACAGCAACTCTTATAAAGAAAACATTTAATTGAGGTGGCAGCTTACAGTTTCAGAGGTTCAGTTCATTGTCATCATGGTGGGGAGCATGGTGGCATGTAGGTCGACATGGTGCTGGAGAATTAGCTGAGAGTCCTACATCTTGCAGGCAACAGGAAGTCAACTGAGACATTAGATAGTATCCTGAGCATAGGAAATCTCAAAGCCTGCCTCCATAGTGACACATTTCCTCTAACAAGGCCATACCCACTCCAACAAAGCCATTCCTTCTATTAGTGCCACTCCCTATGAGCTTATAGAGGCCAATTACATTCAAACTACCACAGAGCCTATGGGGGTCATTCTCATTCAAACCACTACAGAAGTGGTTAAGAGCACTTGGTGTTCTTATAGAGGACCCAAGTTCAGTTCCCAGTACCCAGATTAGGCTGCTTACAGTTGCTTGTAACTCCAGCTCCAGAACATCTGACATCCTCTTCTGACCTTCTCAGTGACCTCCCTGTGAACATCTGCACACACACACACACACACACACACACACACACACACACACACACACACTCCTTTGTGCATATATGAGGTCTGAAGACAGCTTAGTTTCTTCCACCATGTAGGTAGGTCCCGGGAATCAAACTCGGATTGTTAGGTGTAGCTAGAGTTTTCCTGCCTGGCCCACAGTCAGGACAAATCTCTCTAACCTGCCAGTCCCGCAGCAGCTCAGACCCAACCAAGTAAACACACAGAGACTTATATTGCTTACAGACTGTATGGCCGTGGCAGGCTTCTTGCTAACTGTTCTTATATCTTAAATTAATCCATTTCTATAAATCTATACCTTGCCACGTGGCTCGTAGCTTATCGGCATCTTCACATGCTGCTTGTCCTGGTGGCAGCTGGCAGTGTCTCTCTGACTCAGCCTTCCACTTCCCAGCTTTATTCTCCTCCTTGTCCTGCCTATACTTCCTGCCTGGTCACTGGCCAATCAGTGATTTATTTATTGACCAATCAGCAACACATTTGACATACAGAACATCCCACAGCACTTCCCCTTTTCTTTTTTTTTTCCAAAAAGGAAGGTTTTAACCTTAACAAAGTAAAATTACATATAATTTGGGAATTTGGGCGTAGCTTCTCTTACTACTTCCTGCTGGAGGGGGGCGCTGTATCTTATGGGGACACAAAGAAAATTTTAGGATTGTGAAATAGTCCACAAGGCTGTATTGTCTGAGCCAGTTGCCTTCAAACCATTCTGGATGTTGGATCATCTGGGTCATGGTGTCATCGGAGACCTTTCAGGGGGTCTTGGCTGGTCAAACCTGATGTATCTTAATCTGGAACAAATCCATAGCCTCTGGCTTTCTGTGGGAACAAAAGCAGAGTCTCCTTTCCAAAGCAACACATCCTTACATCCAAATTTTGAAGTCAAGGTATCTTTAAAATATACATATTGGTTTAACTCAACATCTTTTATGATCAAATGTTTTTCTGCAGCTAAAAATCCCAAAGACAACACAATCCAGATTCTCTGTGTAATATTCATCTTTACATGGCTTATTTTTTATATTAACTTTACTGTCTCTTTAAAGACTTTGTTTTTTAAAACTATGTATTTGTTTATATAACTGTATATATCACCTTTTTTGTCTCTTTCAAGCCTACATATATTTTACACACATTGTAAACTATTACATCTGAATCTGTTTTATTGTGAATCTGTTGCTTTAAACTGCAGCAGCTGTGGCTGCTGGCTCTGCCCACCTCAGCTTCCCAACATGGTGGTGGTAGTTTACCACCAGCTCTGGGAACTATCGTGGGTCTATGCTTTTATCCAAGCAGCGTGTAGCCCAGAAACCTCTTTTTTTTTTTTTGTTTTGCACTAGCAAAGGCTAAATCAACCATGCAGCTTAATGTGCTACTTGCAGAGGCCTCATTCCCGCCATATGGCAGGTCGAGCGCGCATGCTAGGAACGCGCCAGTAGCTCAAACCAGCAGCTGCCGCTCATTTGAGTGAGACAATTAGGAAGTTGTTTTTAGCTCCGTTTTAGAATCTTTTTTCTCAGTTTTTTGGTGGAAACTCTTGCCACCACGTTGGACGCCATTTGTAGCTAGAGTTTTCCTGCCTGGCCCACAGGACAAATCTCTCTCACCTGCCAGTCCCACAGCCACTCAGACCCGACCAAGTAAACACAGAGACTTATATTGGTTACAAACTATGGCCGTGGCAGGCTTCTTGCTAACTGTTCTTACAGCTTAAATCAATCCATTTCTATAAATCTATACCTTGCCACGTGGCTCATGGCTTACTGGCATCTTCACATGCTGTTTATCATCGTGGCGGCTGGCAGTGTCTCTCTGACTCAGCCTTCCACTTCCCAGCTTTATTCTCCTCCTTGTCCCACCTATGCTTCCTGCCTGGCCACTGGCCAATCAGTGATTTATTTATTGACCAATCAGCAGCACACTTGACATACAGACCATCCCACAGCAGTTAGGTTTGGCTGCGACTTCACCCACTGAGTCACCTTGAACCCTCACTGGGTTTTTGTGAAGTGAAAAGACATAACATTTATGGAAATCCTTGCCAGGTGTCCAGAACATTGTAGGTCCTCAACAAACGCTGACTTCCTCACTATAAAACCCAATAACGTCATACTTCCGTGGAGGCCAGGGTCTCTCCAGGCCCCACTGGTCCAGCAGTGAACCATATTCATATGAGATCTCAGTCTGATGTATGACACAGTCACGTGACACACAACACCTCTGTGACGTCTGTGTGGAAGAAGTCGAGGGCTGCCTGCATTGTCGAGGCAGGAGAGAGTCCGGGTTTGCTCGGGGTCTTGTATCCTGGGAAGCTCTTTGGTCCTCAGCACACAGGAACAGTGGGTCACCCTGTCACCCCTCTACTAGGCTCAGTTTAGGGTGTTGGGGCTCTCAGGTGGTCATCTCAGGTCCTTCTAGGCATCAACAAACTGTGTCTGGGGGAAAAGAAGGGAAGAGGAAGAGGGAGCGAGGGCAGGCACTTTACTCAGTTGCTGAGGTCAGAGCCTGGTTCCCACATTAAGCCAATTAAAGAGAAATACTGGGGCAAAGCAGAGAAAGGAAGTGTACCCAATGTGGTCACACTGGGAACAGGAATAAGTCTGGTGACCTCTCAAGACCACCTTCAATATCTGTTTTTTCCCCATTTTTCTTGTGTAGACACACATGAAATGGGGGGGTGGGTGGGTGTGGGTGTGGGTGTGCTTATGTGGGTGTACATGTGGAGGCCCAAGGTTGATGTCAGTAATCATCACTGCTGAGCATGGTGGTGTATACCTTTAGCGCCAGCACTAGAGAGGCAGAGGCAGGAGATTCAAGGTTCTCTGAGTTCAAGTTGGTTTACATAGAGTTCCAAATCAGCCAGAGCTACAAAATGAGACTATCTTAAAGAAAAAAAAAATTGGGCTGGAGAGATGGCTCAGAGGTTAAGAACACTGACTGCTCTTCCAGAGGTCCTGAGTTCAATTCCCAGCAACCACATGATGGCTCACAACCATCTGTAATGAGATCTTGTGCCCTCTTCTGGCCTGCAGGCATGCATGCTGTGTACATAATAAATAAATAAATCTTAAAAAAATCTTAATTAAAAAAAAAAAGAAAAGAAAGAAAAAATCACCCTTGAGGGCTTCCGCTTTATTCACTGAGGCAATGTCTCTAACCAAACCTGATGACATGGCTCGTATCTAGCCAGCTTGCTCTGGGGATCCCATCTCTGGATGGAATTGCAGGGGGGCTGCCACACCTGTAGTGGCATTGAGATGGATTCTTGGGGTTCCAAACTCCTGTCTTCATGCTTAGGCGGCAACTGCTTTATCTGCCGAGCCATGACCCCAGCACCCATCCCTGGGGTCTTAACATGAGCCTTGGGTTTGAATAGAGGGTAGAGGCATGAGTAAGGTACCCTGCCAGGGGCCGTCCTGCCCACCATCGCTGTCTGGCAAGGTATTCTGACAATTGTTACAACTGCATGAAGTCGCTCTCTGGGAGGCAAATTCCCCTCTGAGAGCTGGCACCAGGGTTTCAGGCTTTTCCTTCCTCCACCATGAGATTCCAGGGGCAATTCTGATTCTTTGGGAGTCCATTGTTTCAATAGTCTGATACCAGAGGAGGGGAGAGGAGGGAGGGAAGAAGGGAGGGAGAAGAGGGTCTGAGGGGAGGAGGGAGGGAGAAGAGGGTCTGAGGGGAGGAGGGAGGGAAGGAGGGAGGGAGGGAGGGAGAAGAGGGTCTGAGGGGAGGAGGGAGGGAGGGAGGGAGGGAGGGAGGGAGAAGAGGGACTGAGGGGAGGAGGGAGGGAGAAGAGGGAGAGGAGGGAGGGAGGAGGAGAGAGGGAGAAGAGAGACTGAGGGAAGGAGGGAGGGAGGGAGGGAGGGAGGGAGGGAGGGAGGGAGAAGAGGGTCTGAGGGGAGGAGGGAGGGAGGGAGGGAGGGAGAGGAGGGAGGGAAGGAGAGAAGGGGGAGGGGGAAGGAGGGAGAAGAGAGACTGAGGGAAGGAGGGAGGGAGGAGAAAAGAAGGTCTTCCTGCCCTTCTCTGAGCTCATCTTCCACACCAGGGCAACATGTCCATCCCTACATGTGTCTCTAGTTCTGACAGACTCTGTCACATGTTCTGTCTGGTTCCTCAGAGCCCAACTCCTCAGGGCACTTTTGAGACCAGATGCTTCCTCTGCAGGCACTGAGCCTGAATCTCAAAACCCCCAGATAGACTCGCAGTACAAGAAACATGTGAGTGCCAGGGTTTTGCAATGCCCCCACAGACTCCTGTGCTTGAACACGTGGTTCACAGCAGGCGATGCGGGGTGCAGGGACTCTCTAAGAGTCACACCATTGGTGCTGGGGGGGGAGGGCGGGATATGGAATCCATAGTTCACACCAGGTGGTGCTGGGGATATGGAATCCATAGTTCACACCAGGTGGTGCTGGGGGTATGGAATCCATAGTTCACACCAGGTGGTGCTGGGGATATGGAATCCATAGTTCACACCAGGTGGTGCTGGGGATATGGAATCCATAGTTCAGACCAGGTGATGCTGGGGATATGGATCTTTAGGAGTCACAGCAGGTGGGCCCTGCTTCTAATCTTTCTTTCCGTCTTCCTCCACGGTGTGGCCTGCTACCTCATGCTTCTGCTGCTATGCCTTTGCTATCATAACAGACCAACACCCCCTGAAATGGTGAACCCCAGGAAACCTTTTCTCCCCTGAGGTGGTTTTGTCAGAGCAATAGGAAGAGTAATACATAAGCACATTGACTCATCTTCCTCTCTGGAGAGAGGAAGAGACAGACAGAAACAGACACCATCATTCTAGAGTAGAAATGTTTTAGGAAGGAAAGTGAAGGATGCAAGTCTCTCTGGCTGTTCCCAGTCTCTAGTCCTGAGGAATGTTCACTACTCAGTCACATTCAAGCATAAGAGTTCTTTGCACACACTGTCAGACCATGTAGACAGTGGAAATATTCATGGAGAACACAGCATTCCTAGAACCAAACTAGTTGGCTTGAAGAATGATAGTAATGCTTGAAAAATAAGAAAGAGAACTTGTAAATTAAAAAAAAATATCAAGAAAATGGGGTTGGAGATATGGCACAATGGTTAAGAGCATTGGCTGCTCTTGCAGAGGACCCAGACTCAGTTTCCAGAACCCACAGGGCAGTTTACAGCCGTCTGTCCCAGGGGATCAGGCACCCTCTCCTGGTTTCTTCGAGTACTGCGCACACACACTCAGCGCACTTACATAAAGGCAAAACAGTCACACACATAAAACAGAAGGCTGGGATGTCGCTCTGCTGACAGACGGCTTGCTTAGCATATGTGAAGTCCTGGGTTCCACCCCCAGCGCCACAGACACCGGGTAGTGACAGGAAGTCTGAAATTTCAGCAAGTGGAGTGGAGAGGATTCAAGTTCAAGATCACCCTTGGCTACATATCAAACTCGAGGTCAGCCTGGGCTACATGAGACCTTGTCTCCAAAAGGAAAATGGGGACTAAAGATAACAGAGGGGAATGGAAGAAGAATATGCAGAGATTCCTAGAAGCCAGAACACAATGGAGAAAGAGATAAACAACGAGAAAGAAAAATTGTGAAAACAGGAAGAATGCCTAAGAAAGCAAGGATTCAAGCAGCTAATGACGGGGTTACTGAGAGCAGAGGAGGAAAGAACGTGATGTGTCCACACTGAAGGAAAGCATGTTCTCTAGAACTGGGGAGGGTAGGTTTGGTAGAAAGGCTCTAGAGTCTAGGCAGATCACAGGCAAAAACGGCTGAGTGGGTTTCCCGAGAAGAGGTTGTAGTGATGGAGTGAAGGTCTCCTGGGAACTGGGCTGGTGGTGTGTGTGTGTGTGTGTGTGTGTGTGTGTGTGTGTGTGTGTAGCCAGGACGGGAGAGTCACTCATAAGAGACTTGAGAATCAGATGGCCTCAGGCCACATGGAGGGACCTTATTTTCCTTCTTCACAACTGTTTCTACCTGTCAGTAAGATTATCCTTATTTCTGCCGTCCTTCAGGAGCTGGGTCCCCTCACCATTCCCTTTGGTGGGGAGTCAGACCCCCTTCTTCCAACCTCTCTCACGCTTCCCTACAAGTCTCTCAGGTCTTCTGAGCCTTGAGCCAAGCAAGCCCTGGAGAAGCTCCCTGCCCCCAGCCTTGGAGATTCCCACCAGCCTAACTCTATCGGCCCCTATGGTTACTGGAGAGCCCACGTGACTGTATGACAGATGTTTCCTGCCCCTGGGGGCCTGCAGTGTCCGTGGGGAGGTAACTCAGAACCGACTCTGCCCAGCCATGGGCTGCTACCTGCCGCTGCTGCTGCTGCTGCTCCTGGGACTGGCAGGTAAGGTGCAGATGGAGCCACACCTCCTTCCCCAGCCGGGAGCATCACAGATGCAGTACCTGCCCCTGGATCCCCACGTCTCTGTGCCAGAGGGTGGGCTAGGAACCACGCCTGCTTCTGTTCAGTCCTCACTCCCACCTCTCTTCCTTCCCCAGGTCAGGGCTCAGCTGACAGCCGCCCCGAAGTGCTCCAGGCACCCGTGGGGTCGTCCATTCAGGTGCATTGCCGCTACCGGCTCCAGGATTTGAGGGCTCACAAGGTGTGGTGCCGGTTCTTGCAAGAAGTCTGTCAGCCACTGGTGACCTCCGCTGTGGACCGAAGAGCCCCAGGAAGTGGGCGCACATTCCTCACTGACCTGGGTGGGGGGCTCCTGCAGGTGGAAATGGTGACCCTGCAGGAAGAGGACACAGGGGAGTATGGCTGTGTGGTGGAGGGAGCCGCCGGGCCCCAGACCCTGCATAGGGTCTCCCTGCTGGTGCTTCCACCCGGTGAGTGTACTCAGGATGGCCTGTGGTGGGGACTCTTGGGGCCTTTGGGGTGTGGGGCCCTTTGGGAAGGCATTGGGGTGAGGTATCTTCTTGACAGCTCTGCCGGAGTGAGTGGCAGCGGAACTGCTTGGGAAGCTGGAGATAAGTAGTTGAGCGGGCAGCCCGCTTCCTCTCCCTCCCAGTAGCTTTCCATCTCAGCATCTCCGTGGCCCATGTGTCTTCCTCCAGCTCTCCCAAGCCTGATACTACCTTTGTTTTACTTTATGTGACTTGCAAGAACATTAGTGGCAATTAATTTTTGTGCTTTCCAGTGTGTGTGTGTGTGGGGGGGGGGTATATGTGTGTACATGAGTGTGTGTATGTGTGTATACATGAGTGTGTGGGTGTATACATGAGTGTGTGGGTGTATGTATGTATACATGAGTGTGTGGGTGTATTGCGCATGTCTAGCCCCAAAGGATGATACAGGATGTCCACTCTATCCCTCTCCACCTTATGAAACTGAAGCTCACCATTTTGGATAGACTGCCTGGCCAGAGAGGGATTTGTTTATCTCTACTCCCCAGCACTGGGGGTTCATAGCTGGCATTTTTACCTGGGTATTAGGGATTTGAACTCAGGACCTCATGCTTGCCCACTGGGCCATTTCCTCAGCCCTACGTTCCTCTGATGATTTGAAGTTTATCTTAACAGAGTTTATGAGTCTTCCCTGAGCATTTAGTAAGGGCCTGACCTACAGATAGGATCCTGTAGTTCCTGGATTGGATTTCAATTTATTCAGGGTTTGTTTTCTTTTTTAGAAATTTCACTCTATAGCCCATACTGGTCTAGGACCCATTTATGTAGCCCAGGCTGACCTCAAACTCATGATCCTACTACCTCAGCTTTCTGAATTATAGGGGATTATAGGTGTGCAATGCTGTGCCTGGTTCCATTCAGTTTTAAAATTTGGGGGAAATTTCTAAAAAATTAAATTAAAACTATTTAATCCTGCCACTTATCCATTAATATTAAACACACTAATGTTTAATTCCCTGAGAAATCGTAATTAAGAAAGCACACTGCTTTTGCAGGTTTTATTCTCACATCTCACATCTTTCTAGGCATTTATTAAAATAAAAATGTAATTTAAAAATAGGGTGCTAGAGGTCTGAAGAGCTGGCTCGGTGGTTAAGAGCACTGGCTGCTCTTGCAGAGGACCTGGATTCAGTTCCCAGCACCCACATGCCAGCTCACAATCTCCTGAAACTCCAGTCCCAGGGGCTCTGATGTCCTCTTTCTGGCCTCCGTGGGCACTAGGCCCACACAGAGTGTACACACATAAAATAAACAATAAAAAGTTAATTTAAACATGTGATGCTACAAAAACCTGCTCTGCAGGGAGAACGCCGGAGCTGGCTGATGCCTTCCCCCTTTGTGAGCTGTAACTGTGTCTGATCCCCTGAGCAGGAAACTAAAGTCGCTTTCATTTCTTTGGTTTTCCTGGATAGTAAGGGGTGGGTCAGGTTGTTACTGGGTTCCCTTCATTTCCACTCCACAACTATTATTTGAAACTTTGCTTACTTATTTCTTAATTGTGTGTGTGTGCCTACTTGACATAGGTAAGAGGACAATTGGTGAGAGTTGGTTCTCTCCTTCACCACGTGGGTTCTAGGGATCAAACTTGGGTCGTCAGTCTTGGCAGCAAGCCCCTTTACTTGCTGAGCCCTCTTGCTGGCCCATGGCTACCATTTCACACAGCGATCAGATGCTGGCTGACATGAGTTCTTCTCAGGACTCCTCATCCTTGACACGCTGAGGTCTAGTAACCCCAAGTTTGGCCATGTTTTACTTTTTTTCCCCCTCCTTTTGTGCACCTGTGGTCTGCATACATGTTCTTGTGGATGTGGACATGTGTGCACGTGGAGGACAAAGGTCAATGTGGGTGTCTTACTCTCCACTTATTGTTGGAGACAGGGTCTCTTGGGGAACCCGGGACTTTGTTAGGCTGGCTGATCATGAGTTACAGGGGTCCATACCCCACCCCAGCGCTGGGGTCGTGCCTGCACTCTGTGCCTGGCTTACACACTCTGTGCCTGGCTTGCACGCTCTATGCTGGGCTTGCACACTCTGTGCCTGGCTTGCACACTCTATGCCTGGCTTACACATTCCTCTATGCCCGGCTTGCACACACTATGCCCGGCTTGCACACTCTATGCCTGGCTTGTGTACTCTATGCCTGGCTTGCACACTCTGTGCCCACCTTGAGTACTCTGTGCCCGGCTTGCACACTCTATGCCTGGCTTGCACACTCTATGCCCGGCTTGAGTACTCTGTGCCCGGCTTGCACACTCTGTGCCTGGCTTGCACACTCTGTGCCTGTCTTGCACACTCTGTGCCTGTCTTGCACACTCTGTGCCCAGCTTGAGTACTCTGTGCCCGGCTTGCACACTCTGTGCCTGGCTTGCACACTCTATGCCTGGCTTGCACACTCTATGTTTGGCTTGCACACTATGCCTGGCTTACACACTCCTCTATGCCTGGCTTGCACACGGTGCTGGGAGCCAAGCACAGATCTTCCCGTGGCCGCACGAGGCCCTTTACCCACTGAGATGCCTCCCCAGCCCTTTCACTTTTTGGAAATGTCATCTGTGTAACCCTGGCCAACCTGAAACTCACGACACAGACCACAAGGGTCTCAGACTTGAGAGGGTCCCCTGCCTCCCAAGTGCTGGGATTACAGGTGTGCTCCACTATGCCGGGGACTCCAGGTGTGCTCCACTATGCCGGGGACTCCAGGTGTGCTCCACTATGCCTGGGGACTCCAGGTGTGCTCCACTATGCTGGGGACTCCAGGTGTGCTCCACTATGCCCGGGGACTCCAGGTGTGCTCCACTATGCTGGGGACTCCAGGTGTGCTCCACTATGCCCGGGGACTCCAGGTGTGCTCCACTATGCCCGGGGACTCCAGGTGTGCTCCACTATGCCCGGGGACTCCAGGTGTGCTCCACTATGCCCGGGGACTCCAGGTGTGCTCCACTATGCCCGGGGACTCCAGGTGTGCTCCACTATGCCCGGGGACTCCAGGTGTGCTCCACTATGCCCGGGGACTCCAGGTGTGCTCCACTATGCCCGGGGACTCCAGGTGTGCTCCACTATGCTGGGGACTCCAGGTGTGCTCCACTATGCCCGGGGACTCCAGGTGTGCTCCACTATGCTGGGGACTCCAGGTGTGCTCCACTATGCCTGGGGACTCCAGGTGTGCTCCACTATGCCTGGGGACTCCAGGTGTGCTCCACTATGCTGGGGACTCCAGGTGTGCTCCACTATGCTGGGGACTCCAGGTGTGCTCCACTATGCCGGGGGCTCCAGGTGTGCTCCACTATGCCCGGGGACTCCAGGTGTGCTCCACTATGCTGGGGACTCCAGGTGTGCTCCACTATGCCGGGGGCTCCAGGACCTAACTCCAGTCTGGCTGGAAGGGTGGGGAGAGGGAAGGAGGGCAGGTACCTGGAACGCCTCTCATTGCCGTGGGGCAGGGGCTGCACAGAAGGGATGCAGGTGGGGGCCATGGTGTCCAGGGAGGGGATGGCCTGTCCCTCAGGCGAGCGTTCGGTATCAGAGAGCAGCTTAGCTCGTTTTCTATTGGTGTGATGAGGCACACACTCACAGAAGGGAGAGTTTATCGGGGGCTTACAATTCCAGACAGTTAGAGTCCGTGCCATCACGGTGGGGAGCTTGGCAGCCGCAGGCAGGCATGGCACCGGAGCAGTAGCTGAGAGCTCACATCTTGATCCACAAGCACAAGGCAGAGAGAGAGAGAGGGACAGTGGGAATGGCATGGACTTTTGAAACCTCAAAACCCACTGCCAGTGACACACTCCTGAGTCCTGCAGCCAAAGTTAAGTACATTGTAGAAATGACAGAGGCCTTATCACATTGGAGTCCAGGTACTAACTGGGCTCTCAAAAGGTCACTGAGTGTTGCCTCCCATTAGTGCTGAGCCAGAATCCCTGTAAATCCCAGGGGCAGAACTCAGGATGGGATCCTAATCAGCCTGAAGATGAGGCCAGTTACAGGTATGTAGGAGGAGGTCCTCACTGGAGACCCGTGAGAGCCAAGAGCAAGGCTGGTGTTGGGACTGATGAGAGGGTCTACTCTGGGATGGTAAGGAGACTCAAGCAGACCATCCATCCAGTGATGGTGGGGCCTAGTCTGAGTGCCCTGGAGAGACGACGGTGTGGATGGAGCTGGCAGAGATGGAGAGATGCAGGGGGCTGTGGGTGGGAGCTGGTGTCAGAGGGGAAACAGCTAGGTTCACAACCAGGCGGAGATGCAGAGTGGAAGGCATTCCCTAACCCACAGAATGAGGGGAGGGTGTTCCCAGTCTGTCTGCCTTCCCCAGGGACCTCGCTTTCCTCAGCTTCAGATCTTACCAGCCCATGGCAGCTGCTCCACAATGGCTATGCGCTCACGAAATGTCTCCTTCTCTCTCAGTTCCTGGCCCAGGAGAGGAGGAGGAAGTAGAGGAAGAAGAAGAGCGCTATAAAACTGGAAGTCTGCCAAAGGATCCCTCCTTGGACCCTGAGGGGAGTGCTAGTCCTCACGAGTTCATAAGGCCTGAGAACAGGTGCTGAAAAGAGCGGTGTGGGAGGCCAGGGGAACCGGGCGGGCGCTAAACTGGCTTGGAGCTGTGGAATCAGATGGAGGCTGGAGAGGTGGCTCAGCAGTTAAGAGGAGTCGCTGTTCTTGCAGAGGAGAGTCCATTCCCAGCAGTTCTCAACAGCCTGTGACTCCAGCTCCAGATCAGAAGCCCTCTTCAGGCCTGTGTGGTCCTTGGCATGCATGTGCATATATACTCTCACATACGCACACAAATAAATTTTAAAAAATCATCTCAAATCAAATACTTATTCCATTGCTGGGGAACTGACTTATCAGCAGACAGACCGACCTCTATCCATGTCAGCAATGGTCCCTTCGTTTTTGTAGATCTCCAACAAAGACACTATGAAAATGTGTCTCTCCTCTCCCCATCCTCCCATTCCATCTTCTCTCATTCATGGTTCCCAATGAGGGTAGCAGTTTCTCCCACTATTTCAGGGCTCTTGGTCGGCAGCTCCCCTCAGGGCTCAGGGCTAAACCAGCCTATCCCTTTCTGTCTCTCAGTATCCCCCTGATCTGGGGTGCGGTGATTCTGCTGGGCCTGCTGGTGGTGGCTGTGGTGCTGTTTGCGGTGCTAGCCAGAAGGAAAGGTATGTAGCTATCCACCCGTAGCAGCTCAGTTTTGAAGAGGCAGGAGACGGGGTGTGTTTCCCGCATGAAACATCTTGCCATTCTTTTTTTTTTTTTTTTTTTTTTTTTTTTTTTTTGGTTTTTCGAGACAGGGTTTCTCTGTGTAGCTTTGCGCCTTTCCTGGGACTCACTTGGTAGCCCAGGCTGGCCTCGAACTCACAGAGATCCGCCTGGCTCTGCCTCCCAAGTGCTGGGATTAAAGGCGTGCGCCACCACCACCCGGCCATCTTGCCATTCTTTAGCCAAGTTCCCATAAGCTGGAACTCCAGTGGCTGATGAGGAGAGCAGGAAAGGGAACTTGGCCAGGCCTGAGGGACAGGGAAGAGTGGGAAGTGAAAGAATGGAGGGAAGGAAAGAGTTCCAGGGGGCAGGTCTAGTGTTGAGGCCGCTGGAGAAGCAGAAATGGGCAGGGAAGCGAGTCAGGCTTGTAGGGTGCGGGAGTGGAGGGGTGGGAGATGGGAGAGGGGAAACAGTCTGCACTAACAAGGGCTTTGGAGGCTTTGGGAGCTCGGAGACGCTCTGCAAGTGACTAGACTACTGTTCTCTGTTACCAGGGAACAGGCTTGGTGTCTGTGGCCGGACCCAGAGCAGTGGAGTTTCAGGCATGGTAAGAGATCCCTGCAGATCCCCCTCACCCATCACACTACTGAGGTGGAGAAAGACGGCCATGGTCCAGACCCTTGCCTTCCTGTATCTGAAGAGTACCTTGGGGCTTAGGATATCTTCAAAGCACCCCCACTCTATTTTTCTTTTAATAAGACAGGGTCTCTTTATACTTGGCTGGCCTATAACTTACTATGTATGCCAGGCTGGCCTCAAATTCACAGAGGTCCACCTGCCTCTGCTTCCTGAGTGCTGGGATTTCCAACTCCCAGATTTTTTGTTGTTTTGTTTTTCAGACAGGATCTTACTAGGTACTGTTGGTCAGCCTGGAATTCACTATACAGACCAGGCTGAACTTGAACTCTTGAGTTCTGGGATTAAATGTGTGTGTGTGTGTGTGTGTGTGTGTGTGTGTGTGTGTGTGTGTGTGTGCGCGCTCGCGCGCGTGCGTGCGTAAGCACCACCATCCCTAGCCAGCGGAATACCCTCTTGTCCCTTTGACACACTGGGATTGTTACAGCAGGTCCATTATGGCCCCTGGCTTCCCATCAAAGGGAACTCTGGCAGACTGCCTTTGCGTGACTTAGTTGTTTTTATTCCAGGAACCCTCCTCAGCAGCCCACCACAGCAGTGACTCTGGACTGGCCGCCGGACTGCCCACGGATGTACCATATGTGAGGCTAGACTCCCCGCCTTCCTTTGACACCACCTACACGGGCTTTGCTCTTGATCCTCCAACAAGGAAACCCCCAGCCCCACCCCTCCAGCCCCCTCTGCCTCCTAAGGTTCTGAAGTCATCCAAGCCTGTGACATATGCCACAGTTGTCTTCCCAGGAGGGGACAAAAGTGAAGGAGCCTCTGGTGAGCCTGCTCCAGATCCACCAAACAGTCAAACCCCACCCAGCTAAATAATACACCTTAACATACTCTGGGGATCAGCCCTGGGGCGTCCTCTGCAGCCGTCCAACATGCCCAGAGTGTGTGAGCAAATGGTGTGACTTAGGGATCTGGTCTAGTATCTTGGCTTGGTGGTCATAGGAAGTGGTTCTCAGATATGGTTGGGGTGTTTGGGGAGGAACTCTGCCTGCCATTGGTGCTGGTTCTGCTGTCATTACATATTAGGCTAATAAACCCTGATGATGTGTAAGATGTGTAAACTCTTCCTGTGTGTGTGTGTGTGTGTGTGTGTGTGTGTGTGTGTGTGTGTGAGAGAGAGAGAGAGAGAGAGAGAGAAAGAGAGAGAGAGAGAGAGCATGTGTGTGTATGTGTGCACTCAGAGGTCAATGGCAAGACCTTTGAAACAAGGTGTTTCACTGATCCTGGGCTAATAAATAGGCTAGATGACTGCAGAGCCCCAAGGATGCTCCTTTTTCCATCTCCTCAGAGCTTGGATTTCTGGCACCTGCTGTGGCACCCAGCTATTTATCGGATGTTGGGGAACTGAACTCAGGTCCTCAGGTTTCCACAGCAAGTGCTTTGTTTATGGATCCATCATCTCCACTGGCCCAGTGTGTGAACTCCTAATGGTTGGGTGGACAAGACAAAGCCTGCTTCACTAGTCACCTGGTTTATGAACTAGAAAGACTCCGGCCCGGAGCTTGCATTGCCGGTGGGAAGTGGCTTCTCCTCTGGTCAGACCACCGCAGGACAGTGAGATCAGAAGGACTTGCTCCAAATTACTTCCTGCCGCTATCATGACGCCCGAGGGTACAGATTCATTGACTTGAGTCTAGGAAGCTCTTCTGCTCCGTACCTTGTGAGCAAGTGACCTGCGATCAGCAACGGCATTTGAGGGGCTGTCGGGTATGAGAGGTGGGGGTAGGGAGCAGTTACTGATAAAGGAGACTCAGGACAGGTGCAGCGTGGGAGATAAGACCGCAAAGAAACAGGAGGAAGGGTAGGGATGGAAACACACCACATTCCCACTCGGGGGGCGAGGCACGGCATTTTCAAGCACTGGGGATGAAAGAGCTTCTCAGACTTTAGTCTCACCAAAGCTGGTTTTTGCAGTCAGGTAGCCATGTGGCAGCTATGTTTGGCCTGGGAAGAGCCCAGTGAAGAGCCCAGTGAAGAGAAGGTATCGCTGAAGGAAGTGGGCGTGGCTGGCGCAGAGGGGGGAAGTGGGCGTGGCTACAGTCAAGAGTAAATGAAAGGGGAGCCCAGGCTAGAGGTAGAAGGATGCCTAATGTCCCTGAGGAATTTCTTCTGAAACTGATGGGAAAAGATTTGCTGTTACTGGTCCAAGAGATTCAAGGGCGGGAGGAATGAAGGCTTGGGGCCCCAGTACTGTGACAATGACATGGTGCAGATAAAAAGGGACGTAAGTTTGACTTAGGCACCTCAGAAGAGAGCTAATGTCATGAGGCTATGTAAGCCCAGTGATGTTACCCTGAGGGAGCTCTAGCAAATGTCCTGAGCATCTCCTGACAAATGTCTCAAGCTGTGATCTCAGGAGAGGTGACTCAGTGCTTAAGCATTTGCCATGCAAGCATGAGGACCAGCGTTTGGATCCCAGAACAATGTAAACGCTGGAGGTCGTGGTACCCCCTTGTAATTCCAGACTTAGACGGTGGAGACAGGATCCTCAGAGCAAGCTGGCTATGGAAACTTGAGCTCTAGGTTTGATGGGGAGAACTTTCAGTGAACACGGTGGAAGAGTGATGGAAGGCAATTTCTGACATTAATCCCAGGTCTCTACATGCATGCACATGCAGGCACATACATATGAATGGGTACTTCTGTCTTAGTTAGGTTTTTATTTGCTGTGAAGAGACACCACGATAATGGCAACTCTTATAAGGAAAACATTTAATAGAGGAGGGTGGCTTACAGTTTCAGAGGTTCAGGCCATTATCATCAGGATGGGGAGCATGGTGTCATGCAGGCAGATGTGGTGCTGGAGCTGAGAGTCCTACATCTTGACTCAGAGGCAACAGGAAGTCAACTAACACACTGGGCAGTACCCTGATCATAGGAAACCTCAAAGCCCGCCCCCACAGTGACACACTTCCTCCAACAAGGCCATACCCACTCCAACAAAGCCACACCTCCTAATAGTACCACTTCTTATGAGATTATGGGGGCTCAAACTACCACAACTCAAACTACCACAGCCCCCCACCACACACACGAAAAGGGGAGAAGAATGTTGGCAACACAGTACACTGTATGCTTGCTGCTTCCTTTGTGACTGTGGGGCAGACTGGGGGCTGCCCAGCATCCCGAGAGCCTTGTGTGTGCTGCTAGCCTGAGCAAGGACCAGGATTCAGAATTCTCAGCACAGTTCCTAATAGATGCAGAGAACTTTGGAAAAACCACAAGGCAAACCGCAGTAGTCAGGAACTGTCTGTGAAAATCCCAGCCTTATTCACAGTAGACAGGTCACGAACACCAACAAACATGGCTAGTGATTTGCAGAGTTCCAAACAGAACCCGGTCTGTCTAGCTTCAGGTCTCTTGCTCTTGACTGCTGGTCAGTACTTAAAAACATAAAGGAGTGAAGGAGGAGGATGGGAGGATGGGGCGCAGTGGGTGAGAAGAAGGCAGGAAAGCAGGGATGGGAGGAGGCAGGGGAGGAGACAGAGAAGAATGAGGGTGGCTAGGCACATGGAAGTGGCTGGGAGATCAATATGAGCAGATATGCAGATTAGATGTTATGTTATAGGCAAACATCTCCCTCCCTTCCTTGAGGTTCTCATCACAGTCATTTAGAAGGAAGGGCGAATGCTGGGTCTAGGATAGCTTACCACAGGCTAGGTTGTGGTGATATTTTGTTTGTGCCCTAACAAATAAAGCTTGCCTAGAGATCAGAGTGTGGAGCTATTCAATAGAGGCCAGGCAGTGGTGGCACACACCTTTAATCCCAGCACTTGGGATCTCATGCCTTTGATCCCAGTACTTGGGAAGCACATGTCTTTAATCCCAGCACTTAGAAGGAAACAGGAAGTGATATGGCTAGGCCAAGAGAGGAAGTGATAAGGTGGGGTGGAGACCGGAGCTCGATCCTTTTCAGTCTGAGGATTCCTAGAGGAAAGAAGTCTCTCTAGTGTCTGACTGCTCTGCTTCTCTGATCTTTCAGCTTTCACTCTCAATATCTGACTCCAGATTCTTATTATTAACATCAATTAGAATTTGTGCTACACTAGGTCCTATAAATGCCAATAGAACCTAGTGGTCAAGAACATAAACCCTAGAACTAAATCTCAGTAGAATCCCGGCCTTACCACTCTGTGGCTGTGCTTGCCACATAAACTCTTTGTACGCTTCCACAGTTTTGGTCCCACCAAGTAGTTTCTACTGGATGCGGAGTATGTTTGCACCCCTGTGACCCTGGAAAATCACAAGAGGAACTACCACAGTCAGGAACTGTCTGCATTCCAACTGTGAGTTCTTGGTGGCTGAAGCTGCCAAGTTCTGCTGCTTGCTGGATCGTGGCCCCTCATTCAAATACACTTTCACCAGCTTTCTGTTTTAGATGGTTTCTTTCACTGCCTAAGCTTGGCTGTCCTGGAACTTGCTCTGTAGACCAGGACGGACTTGAACTCAGAGATCTGCCTGCTTCTGCCTTCCCAGTGCTGGGATTAAAGGCGTGCACCACCATGCCTGGCCTTAATCTTTTTTTTTTTTTTTTAATTCTTTTTCACAAGTTGGAAGCTGAGCTGGGTGGTGTCTTGCCCTGAGGTCATTACTCCCTTTATTCCATTTCTCATCAGGCTTTTCTTTAATCTATTTATTTATTTGAGTACAGGCCTTATATCCATTTTACTTCCTGGTACCTCCTTTTCTCTCAAACTATATATTTTGTGTTTTTCCTTGCTCAGCTTGCTCCTTTTCATTTTAGATCTGCATAAGACTGGCCACTAATAACCATATAATACAGTCAGTACTCAATGGTTTTGAAATCTCCTCAGCCAACATAGTTAATCTAAAACTCTTCAATTTACCTTCAAGCAGATTTTTTGGACAAGGGCAAAAAGCAGTCACGTTCTTCAACAAAATATAACAAGAATGATCTCTAGGCCACATACTGATATTGTTTTCCTCTGAAACCTCTTGAGCTGGCCCCCACAGTTCAAATCACCCTCAGCACTGTTTCCATGTTCCTACTCGGCTAGTTCCTTAGCCTCCCCTCCCTCCCCCCAGTTTAAAGTGTCCAGTCGCTTTTCTAGTCCAAAGTCCCAATATGTTCCATATTCTTCTAGACAAAAACATGATCAGGCCTATCACAATAATACCCTACTCCTGATATCAGTTTCTGTCTTAGTGTTATATTGATGCAAAGAGACACCATGACCATAGCAATTCTTAAAGGAAACCATTTAACTGGTGCTGGCTTATGTTTCACAGGTTTAGTCCATTATCATCATGATGGGAAGCACAGTGGTACACAGACAGACATGGTGCGGGAGAAGTAGCTGAGAGTTCTAAATCTGGATCCACAGGCCATAGGAAGGAGAGAGACACTGGGCCTGGCTTGAGTTTCTGCAACATCAAAGCCCACCCCCAGTGACACACTTCCAACAAGGCCACATCTCCTAATAGTGCCTGAAGCACTTATTTAATTATTATTTTATTAATAAAAACCTGGGAGTCAGCTATTAGGGGAAAAACCTGATTAATCAGAGAAATGGTGGAGAAGTGGCCAGTGACCACCTCTCTCTCTTTCCTTCCTTGGTCCAAAAGAGCTAAGAATCTTTCTAAGCCCCTCCCCACTACTTCCTGTGTCTCTATATATCCTCAGTTCTCCAAAACCTCTATGGCTAATTTTGGTCTGCTAGTAGCTAGCTCTGCCCTCTGATTCAAAGTAAACTTTATTGTCAGTCTTAGGAGTGTCAGACTGTGATCAAAATATCCCACAACATTCCCTCCTTTTTGTCTAAATAAAAAGGGAAGGTTTTAACTCTAACACATTAAAACTATATACAATAAGAACAATTATCAGGTAAGAATTACATTTGCAATGTCCAGTCCATTTAAATTTGGCAAATTCAGAGAAAATACTCCACTATCTATCCTATCTTGGTGATTCCAAAGTTCTGTACCTAATTTAGTTTTTATCCTAACTTATATTACCAATCCAAAACTATCTTTTTAGACCTCAAAACATTTCCTTA